CCTCTCGTGACTTCCACAACGCTAATTGAAAGTCGAAAGATAAGGGAAATATTTACAGGAAGGCAAGACCCTCCTCCCGCGCTGGCCGCGACGTCACGGAAACGATGAGACGCTATTGAATGCGGAGGTGGCGGAGGGATATATGAATCCCTTTGAGGGGCGTTGGCCGCTACCTCCTTGACCTGTCACTTATCATAGACAACTTTTTTTTCTCGCCAATGTGAAGGTATATTAGCACAGCCTTGTTTATACTGGAATCATGACGTCAGTAATTTGGCGTCTACAAGAGCCGGCGTAATCAGAACATCGCAGTGCATGAGAGGCATCCATGTAAAGTCGATTATTATTTTCTCTGCGAAAATTATATACAAACCTATATATATATATATATATATATATATATACACACAAGTGGTTTGTTCAGCTGCCATGCTTGGGAGTTTATGCAGAAGCAAATTGCAGGGCAAGTTGTCCCGCTGTTGTGTTGGTAGATGGATCGTTCTTGGTTTAGCGCTAGTAACCTCCAGGCATTTCTTCTCGACCTGTGCCTCCAGGTGTCTCCACTCCTCTCCTGATTCCACCCCTTTGACTTTCCCCGGCGGGTCGGCCTGTATCCACACGGTATGAGGAATGACGAGTTGAGGCCGATCACGTGTCAATTTTGCCGCTACTCTTTGAGGGTAAACTGAATCTATCTGTAGGCCCTATAACGTCAGCTTTCCCGCAAAATATAGCGGGGGAAACCGAATTTGAGACTTGGTCACATGACATCATGTCACGTGATGTTAATCTTCCGCTAAATTTAGCGGAGAAACTGATCTGGCGTTGAAGTCACGTGGCATCAATTTTCCCAATAAAAATCTAGCGGGGAAACTGAATTGCTGTAAAGGTCACGTGACAACAAGTCATGGGACGTAATTTTTCTCGCTAAATTTAGCGGGAAACCTCCTCGCTTCAATCCTCACCCGTGCCCGTTTCCATCTGGATGAGCATCGTAACCGCGTGAGGTCGCGTGCGTTTGGCGTCTTTAACATACGTGATGCACGTTAAAGACGCCAGGGCAGCAGACGTTCTGCAACGAATTTCTTTTTTGAAGCCGTGAAAGGTACTCTAATGGGTCGGCGCAAGTGAGCTATACGGGCAGGGGGACATATTTTAGAAGGCTAATCATCTAGAAATTTTATATAATTAAATACGCATTGGCTAGAAAAAAATAAACATATGATTTCACTAAGAAACTTGTTCAGCTAACTAAAAACAACTAAATAACTAAATTGTTCAGAGATTTCAAGCACGGTGAGAATCAGGATAGCGCGCTAAAGTTATCTCTGGTGCAACAGGCACAAGGCTAGGGGGGAGAAAACGGGGATGATAATAAGCTTGTCCTCCAAGCTGGCACCTCGCCAGCTTTACACCTGGTGCAAGGAACTATAGCGCAAAAATAATAATCCGGAGTTGTGCGGATATTTATACACCGTGTAGTTGGTCAGCCATTTCAAAGCTGCGACGAGTCTCCCAGCTGTAGATGAGAAATTTAGCCTGTGCAGTACAGCCGCTAGGCTGAAATCTTTAACGTGCACCACGCGGTAGTGATACATGACCGCACGCCGGTACGGTGCTCATCCAGATCGAAACAGGCAGGGGTGGGGATTGAGCTCAGGATCCCTGGGTTCTCCGGCCCGAGCTTCCGCTCCAGGTGCTCCGAGCTGGTGTGCGCTAGCCCACTCGGCCGCCGATCCCCCTTAACTTGAGCGCACCCACACATTTCTCACGTCTTTTAAATCTTTTTAAAAACTGACTCATTTTGTTATTCTTTATGACTCTCAGCAATTAAAGTGTGTTTATTTTCACTAATTAGAAAGTAAATTAACAAATGTTAGACAAACATTTAACTATTCAAAACTATTAACCCTCTATATAAGTGTCCCCCCTCCCATATATAACTGACCTGCGCAGAGGGCATTGGTTAGCCTTTCACGTTCTTATCTTTCTTTCTTTTTTTTCCATAAATACGTTTTAATTAAAATCAAACACCCTATATATTATTTTAAGAAATCCTGGTTAAGTAAGGTAACCCAGTGAAACATAAACCTCGAAAAGCGGACGAATTGCAACGATAGCTTTTCTTTCTTATTATTTCAGCGGCCTTCTGCTTCCACAAATTTTGGAATAAATACTGCAATAAAACTTCCAAGATATTCTGGTACTACGACGCTGTGCTAAGAACCTGCATCAAGACGAGAAATGGCATTTGTGAACCCACGAAAAACGACTTCAAAACTTGGACACAGTGCTGGACAACTTGCCGACTTCCCTAACTCCGAAGCGCCGTCGACGTAGCTTTGCCGCCTTTTGATCCTTGATCGGATGCGACGCATATATGACGCACCGGCGTCTCCTCAATAAATATTATTTACATGTATCTATCGCGAAGCTGAAACACTAAAACAAGATGAGAAGATTGTATTGTAATTTCTTTTTTATTAGTTAGTTTGTTTTTAGAGCGCAGCTCTTAGGCGCCCGTTTCCGGCTTGAGCGGCGTCGCCGTCGGCGTAACTGAGCGGTGCATTATTGGACGCGTGACGTCACTGGTGACGTCACTGATGACGTCATCAGTGACGATGACGACGCCGTCATCAGTGACGATGACGTCATAAGTCATTGTCACGTGACCCCTGAGGTCACGTGATCCTCGTGAGGTCACGAGGCCCTCGTCAGGCGACGGTGACGCCGCTCAGAGGGAGGAGTAGCAGACAGGATGAGGGGCTGAGGAGGAGGGAAGAGGGGTATACCCTCCCCTCAGTACCCTTCCCTCCTCCTCCTCAAGAGCTGCGCTCTAATTCGGCGTTACAGGGAGTTGTAAACGGCTTTCATTTTTTTTTGTACTAGAATAAAAAAAATATTTTTGGAAATGGTAGTGCGGTTAAAGGTACTAGCGACGTACGCGACTAAAAGCGCTTGCTGTGGTCGAAGTTCGCGAATGGCTAGACCATAGCTCCCTGTGTACTAATAATGCCTGCACAATCGCCGGTTCACGGCGAGGCACATCCTGCCAGTCGCGGCGAGACACATCCTGGTCGTCACGTCACGAACGGAACCCACAAGAGGGCGCCAACAAAACATCTCGGCGCTAATTTTGAACGCTGGGATGCTAGGCGGTTACCATTTAGTATAGACCCAATGGTAACGATGGTAAAACCACGATAAATTCTATCTGAGCCTCTGCTAAGGAAAGGGAAAACATCAAACAGTTGGAGGCAAAAAAAATGGACAAGGCGGAGTCTCAAGAATTTAACCACGATGATTTATGAAATGATTCTTGATGGTTAACTTTCACCAGCTCGACGCATGTTTATTATTTTTAACGATGGTAGGGTTAAGGACAACTTGAACAACGCGGAGTGTGGTTCATTATCACCACGCTCCATACATCATGATTTGTTCTCCGGAAAGTGATAATACGATGCTCGAGATTCGCCATGGGCTGGATTTCTTGAACTGTCACTGACTACGGTAAGATATTATTAAAGAAGGTTTGCAAAAAGTGGTTGTGGGTTGTGTTCTCTGCATTCTTGACCACGGTCCCTCAGTATCGTCAGTCGGACGCTCGCATCGCCTCCTGCCTGAAGGCAACGGTTCAGCCTTTCTCTGTCTGTCCACTAGTGGAGCTATTTCTGTTAGAGCCCCTTTGGGAAGGAGAAAAGAGGCGTCCGTCTGATATTTCGTACATCTCACTGAAGGCGAATTGTACCGTTCAAATGGAAATTTACATCTAAACGTAATTATTATTTTCATTCAAAGAATTTCAGTTTTTTCTCATTTTCACCAATCGCGGGAAGCACAGAATGTCTCGTGTCGTACGCGTATTATGTGCGCGGTATGATTTGCTACGTTTGGTAGCGGGGAGAAGCTTTGGGTGGCTTCGGATGAAATAAAAACACCACACCTTTGGTTTCTCGAGGTTTATCAAAAACATCGAGACAAATCTAAATTTATTCCCGTGTTAAGTGTGACACGAGCATGTTTAATGAGACACTTCTCGCATGTTCTGATCCTTTTGTTTGTGCGTTACGGCCTTCGTTTTGACAAGACTTGAGCCCGATCTAATGTTTTTGTATAAATGCGTTCATGCTCGCATTGATTGTTCAACCCACACATTAGCTATTAATATATATGTACCGCGAGCGCTTTTAAGGGTAAATCCAACTTTCTCAGTTTAAAAATGAACTTTTCCAGTCCTATGAACCGCATCCAACATGATTGAAATGCAAGTATGACTAAGTATTACTCAGTATGCTAAGTATGACTCAGTATGCTCGACTAGGTGCGACTTCCCGCCAACTGTCGCCCGCTGACTAATCTTTCTGGACTAAGTAGGACTCGCCGCCGACAGTCTCTTACGGACAAAGCACGTTTGACTAAGTATGACTCAACGCTGACAGTTGCGTGCTACCGCAAGCGCCCGTTTGGCGTTAAGTCACAAGACACGGCGCGTTCTGTCCCGTTTTGGTCTATGTCCTTATGTTTCTCTCGGCACTTTTTTTGGGGGGAAACGACGAATTACTTGGCCCGCACAACTTCTTTCTTGTCTACTAGCACGGCAGCTGTCGAAAAGATGTCTTTTTCGTAGATGGGAAAATTTTCTCTTTCAAGAAACTAAGTAACCTTTCGATTCGGCAGCTAACCTAAAGTGATTATGTTGCGAGGTCTTCCACAATCCAAAGTCACCTCCGAGAGGAATCAAAAATGTTTCTTCCACGTTGAAGACTCGCCTCTCGTAGATCAAGGTGTCCACCGCCTCCAGCCCCACTGCCCAGATTCGAAAAGACGCGGCGGTAGCGTCACCCTAAGAGACAGCACCCTACGACACGTTGTCCTTGACTCTCCGACGTCAGTGCACCGGCAAGGATTTCCTCTCTTTAGAAACCAGTTGTTGTCTGAGCGAACCGATGACGCCGTTCAGAGTCGGTCTAATGCGTTCACGCGTGCCAAGGAAAAATGTTCGTTTTTCGTAACGACGCCGGCCAATGGGACAGGGCGGCCTTGGTACGAGCGCTCGGCGGAACCCGCAAGGCAGGAGCATCCAGTTCGTCTTGAGCCGGGTCCAGTGCCGCATTGCCGAGAACAGCGCCTGTGGAAAGTGACCTCAGGTTCTCGTGGGAAGGATAGCCGTACTCTAGCGTCAACATGAGCCAATTCTGGGTTCTCCTGGCTCTGGCTTCTCTGGTGGCCATCGTCGGCGCGCAAGAGATCTTATGTCCACAGCACAGTAAGTTTGACAACCATGAGTTGTTTTTTCTTCTATTAATTTTATATGACAAATTACAAGAAGCGGGAGCACTTGCGGAGCTAAAGGACATGCAATTTGATCAAAATATTCTGTAAACATTAGACAAGTACAAAAAAAGATAGCAGCAAGCTGTCTAAGACCAACTGCACTGAACTTTGTCCTGTTTAAATGCTATTGTTCACAGTTACATCTCTGCAGTTCATTTATGCTGACTTGGAATAATCACAGGTTATGTAAGCTGCTGTAGGGTGCTGTTCGTTCAATAAAAAATCACTGGTAAACTCGATAAGTCAATTGCTACTTTGCATTCAACATAATATCAATACTAACTTATAAAAAAGATAAATTTTCAGATAAAAGTGGTTCAAAATGTATTATCGTTTATTCTTTAGACTAAGTCTGGAAAAAAACTTCTGACTGAATATATAATATTTGAATCATGACGGTGTCATCAAGGCGATCATTTGGATGATTTGTATGGTGATGACATGTTAAATTTTGAAGATTCTTACCTCATATATTTAAGACTTCTGTGTCGTATCAAAAAGTCAAAGTAAAACACGGGAGGTTTTTGTTTATGTTACTCCTTGTCAGAAATTTTGTCCCCGAGTTTAGTCCTCCTTTATTTCTGTGTTTTCTATACCAATATGCGGTATGAGTTCCATAAGTCTTTGTGCTTTTTCCAATATTATTTATAAAGGAATACTGTCTTCTTGCTACTTCCTAATCGTCAAAAGGATCAAAAACAGATAAAAGCTCCTCCGGTGTTAAGGGGAGCGCAAATAGAAACGTAAGGTACTGAGGAGCACTATCCCTTTGCGTCACTGTCACTGAAATAATGAAATTATTGTGAGCGTTCTCTCGTAACAATAATATATATATATATATATATATACATATATATATATATATATATATATATATATATATATATATATATATTAATAATTTTGTCAAAACAAGCGGAACATCGAGTATCAGAGTTTCGGTTGTTGAAATATACCGCCGAAGATGAGTGGCGGATTGTAAAGAAAATCGTATCAACTTAGACGGAAATGTAAAGCCACTGACATCCTCTCTATATTAATTAATTAAACTGGTGAGATATGTTTTCGACCGCAGCAGACTTTCTGCCTGCCTACAGATGTCACTGATATAAGTTGTGTTTCCACAAAAACCGACACTAAGCTCACAGCAACATGTTGTTAAAAATACGGTTCGTACAAACGAACAAACAAACAAAGAAGACCAAGGACGGTCACGTACGAAAATCCAAAAACCTGTGGCCATCAGCGCCGCCGAGATTAACTGCCTACCTTTTGCTAATTTCTTGCCTGTGTTGTATTTAATAAATTAAAAAACTTACACAGTCTTGTTCTATGCTACCAACAAAAAGGGTATTAACCTTTGACAACACAATTCCCAAGCGAAAATTAAGACCTAATCAGTAGATGTGTATGACAAAATTTATATAAGGTGGCCCACATTTGCCAAGCTCAAATCAAGTTGTGATATGCACTTAGAATATGATCATGTACGCTTTGTAGGCCTTGTCAGTATTTACTGGTTTGATCAAGTGCTTTCATCATTTATTTCCCCTATTTTATTCTTTCTTTCATTCTGAGAGTTCTAAAGCCAAACTGAGTATTGAGACAGCGATTGACACTATTACTCCGATTCTTAGTTTCCTGGCTATTGTACTAAAATCTTCTTTCGCTCAAACCGGAGTCCGGGCACCATATAATAGGCGCACTTTTGCTTTTCCCAGTTTGCTATAAAGGTGTCATGAGTAGCCCGTGTCGTCAAAGTTCACAAGTCTCGTTATTTTCATTGTTACCATCGCTATTGTTCGTCTAATAACGTGCATTCAAAAGCACCGAACAATCGGTCATTGTCGGGAATGGTGTTGTTGCTGTCGTAGCTTCAGTTGTTGGCATGCGACCAAATGGGCAGCTTGCCAAGTGAAGGAGCGATATAAACATGCACATCATTTAAATCATTGCGACAACGTCCCCTGTCTTGGGACATCACAAAATGAAGGAAACGGGTGCCAAATTACATGGTGTAAGCGTTGAAAGAAAGAATATTACCAGCGTCCCCACTTGGTACTCCTGGCTGAGCCAGGTTCTGCGTGTGGTAAGAAGTAAGAGGTGTGAGAATAGATGCATTCTCCCAACTTTGCCACATACTGATGGTAACACACTCTTAACATACTTTGTCAACTATTTCTAAGAATGCCTTTCTCGCTCAAGTTTTGGGCCGATTTTCTAAGTGCTAGATCAGTAAGATTTATGGTCAATTTGTTTCAATCTTAGGTGGGAAATTGCCTTCAAGCTATTCATTTCAGAAAAGTTTTGTTTTTGCGTGAGAAACTTATTTATGCTGCTTCTGGCTGTTCTGGTATGGCGCGTTGTAAATCGCAAGATCTACCATACTTCCACCTCTGGTGTGGTTGGACAGGCTTCAAACAAGTGTTAGACATTTTCTGGTTAGGATCGTTTGAAAACTTTAGGTCATTCAACTGTCAAAAAGAGAATGCACCCTGTCCAGTAGCTAAATGTTATACATTTTTAGTGTATACAAAAAATCGTGCTAGCCAGTCTAGCACCGCACATGAGTTTGTGCACTGGGTTTATCAAAAGATTGCATCATTGGTGTTTCCTTCCATGTTTTGCACCTTATAATGCACTCATTCTGACAACATTCCGTTGTATGTTGCACACTAACTTTGTGATAACACCTTTCCTGCAGTGAGCACGAAAATGTCGGCAGTGTTACTTTAAAATTATTACGGTTTGTACTTTTGTCTAACTTTTCAGGGCACCTTAATGGAGAAATCAACAAGTGCAAGGCACAGCTCCCAGACCTCAGCGGAAAGAAAGACAAGGTAATATATTAATAATCTTCATTACTAACACTTAATGTCATTGAAAGTATTTTTTGCGTATATACACATTTTAACTAACATCATTTCTTGAGACGGGTTTAAAGTGCAGCACTTCTAATCAGCGCCCGAAAATGTTTATCACGATTAAAAACTTCATGCTCCGTTGCTTCTCTTTTTTTTTTGCCTAAAATAATTGCAATTTTTTAAAGTCACTGAAGCATCTTTTGAAAGTAAAATTATGTCATCTTCAACAGTTTGTAAAGTATATCAAAGTCACTGTAGAAACTTTAAAATAACACCGGTGTATCATTCACACATTGAAGTGTAAGTTATAGATTCTTAAAGTGGGAGTATAAACTGTAGAAGGGTAAGCACTTCGGCTAGTTGGTGATACATGTTTCCGGGGGTAAAAGCACTAAAAACAACGGACAACCAAAACAAACGAACAACACAGAGCGCTTCTACCCTCGGAAATACGATAATCTGTTTGATAATAGTGAATGTATTACAGATAACGCGTATATAATATGTAGGGCCAGACTTGGTAAAAATTAAATAACAGACCATCCTAATGTTCACGATCCCTTTAGTATGTACTTATTTGGTTTGTGAAGTAACGTTTGAGTAATAAATTAGCCTTTCACGTGTGCGCCTGCATTTTAACTATTTCTTCAGATCACACATCTCAGAAAGTGTTCGTATATATTGTCTTTAGTCACCACAGCAATTTGTTAATGGTTTACTAGCCAACTTGGACTCGCAAAGAGTCAAAGGGGCCGCAATCTCCATTTCCTCTACGCAATGGTCTTCTAATGTGTTGTGATACTTACCTTCATCTCCTGGTTTCCTTATGGGTAGAGGGCGAGAGTGTTTGCAACCTTTCTACGTAACCTTCAGAGACTGAGCGGGGCTAACTTCCTCTACAAGTGGAAATGTCGTTAGACAGAACTGATAAAATTGCTCGGTAGTGAAACCCTTCCTCCAACAGTCAGCAGAATATTGTAACCTGAAGTTGTAGTCTTTTGCATTACAAAAATGCATTTATTTCTCTCTCCTTTTGTATTTGATTCTTATGCTTGGCTGAAACTAGTTGGTTGTGCACATATAAATAATTATTATATTGTAGATATTATTATTCTTGTGAAAGGCATAAAGCATGTACTTCAGAAATCGTGTAATGATGCGCTCGGAAATATACCAAACTTCAGCCAAATCAGCGCATTTTAGTGCCTCAATCGCAAGCCCTAAATTTTCTTTAGGTCATGCCATGCAAAACGTTTGAAAATATATCACCGATACAATAGGCAGCCAAGAAACAGAACTAATTTCCTCTCCGACTGTAGTACCTCGATCAAAACAGATATCATAGAAGGGTATAAACTTAACAGTTTAAAACACTTTTAGATAAATATTTTTACACGCTTTGTAATTTACCGTCCGTTTCGTATCTAAAAATGTTGTATCACTCCACTCATGGCGGGCTCAGTACAGTCATTTCATGTGTCTACTACAACATGCTCAGCGCTACTCTGGGCCAAGGAAGAATTGAGTGGTCTGATTCACACAAGCTACACGTATGCGCCTGCAAAATTGAATCAAAATATTGTGCTTACCACTGTGCATGTGCTGCACGCTGGTGTGCGTACGTGTCTTAAGTAAGTACATGATACGTACGCTATTTTTCTAGTCTACGAGTTTCATACGTGAACCCCTTCGATGCCGCTCCCGTTGCTCGGCAATAGTTGTTTGTAGTTTACGGACGTTTTCGCACCGTTTGCGTGTATGTGTTGTCTTCTACTGACACAAACTTCCGGATTTCGCAAGATGCTTGTAATGTGCGCCCACAAGGATGTCGACACTATTCTAAAACTCACTTTTCCGTCAACTTAAGTCGTAGTTTTCGTAAAACAAATGCCAATTCTTTTTTTTTTTCTTTTTTTGCAGGTGGCCGCATTGAGTTTGCGATATGGTCTCATCTGTGCCCGCGAAGTAGACCCTGATATTGCTATCCCAGACATTAAAGAGCGTCGCTGTCGAAACGACGACCCTCAAGACTTCCCCAGAAAGGTGAGTGGAACACGAGACACTCCCTGCATACATTAAAAAGATAAATACGACATCGATGGAATCATAAAGCGGAATACAATAATCTCAATTAGCCGAATGACCTGCATACAAGATTTGCATACCACCTTCAGTACAGCGGGTATTCTTTAGCTTTAATTCTTTAGAATTTAAGTTGCTTCTGCCCTTTTTGAAATTTCACTGAGCGTGCACTGTTACCAAGTCATCAGTTGTTAAGGCGCATAAAAAATAAACAAATGAGAAAAAATATCTATATATAAAAATATTTAAAAACGCTTAAATCTACTTGCTGCATTAAAAGTTAACACACCAATTTTTTTGTTGGGTGCGGGACACAATAGACAATGATTTCGAATATTTTTCACACTAAGATTGTCTCGAGTATTAAACGCTCTGCCAAATGATGTGCAGTAAAAATTTAAAAAAAAACGTAGCAAGTGCTACCTTGCACGTTTAAATAAAATAGGCTTGAAGAAAACTTTTTTTTTTTAAGTGTCGACCTTTAATCTTCAAGAAGCATAAAAAAAACATTGTATTTAATAAAGCTGTGTCCACGGGAAAGCAGGCACCCTTTTCTGTATGTTTTCACCCTGAGGTTTCTTCTTTTATTCGAAAACTTACCAGATTGCCCATGTTTTCGCTGTGACTTAATTTATAAATTCCTAGTTAAAATGGCTTGAGTGTTAAGATAGTTTCGGTATGTTTATGTTCATATTAAATGCTCAATAAATGTGCGCGAGCTTGAAGCCTCGTGTGCAATGCCTATATCGTGGCATGGTTAATTAAATGGAATGACATCAAATATGCAACAAAAAGAAACAGTCGTCAATTTACACTGTCAAATAAATTAAGTTCTGCTTACGATTGTTTCTTGCTATATAAAATTCCCACTAAGAGGACACCTGCTTACACCTTATCGATATCATTTTTAAAAATTATAATTGCCAGCACGAAATTGTTACAATAAACAATTGTACGCAGGATCAATTTAGGCTAACCGCAGATGTTCTTTCGACAATGAACAACATCACTTAGAGGCACGATGTGGTCGTTTTTCCTAGACCTGCAGCATACAGCAAAGATCGCAATGCCAGTCATAGGTATCGTGTGAATGCTATTCTTTCAAAAGATGTAAACATGAAACGCGTTTTGTTTTCTTTCACCTCTTGATTATTTGAACATTTGGGCCCGTCAGGTCGTAAATAAAATTAATGGCTATTCTTCCAAATTAACTAGACGTTGTATTAACATATGTTGAAACTATCTGTTGACAATATTACAACAATGTTGTAATATTCTCTATGTGATGTGTTTCTGGCACATTAGTGTGTTCTACATGACTTTTGAGTGTACCTCACGCAGAGGCTACAATGCTCGTTTGGACGCTCTTGCTCGTATTCCTAAATTTACCTGAACATTTGGTAATCCATCCATTTATTTTAACTTGAGGACCCTTTAAGCACATTAAATAAAAAGGAGAACCACTTATATTATGTAAATAACACACAAACTTTAACAAAATACACTCAAGACGACTCAATAAATATTTTTGCAATGAGAAACCGTGTCTGGCGGGGGCAATTTTAATATTGGTCCCACCAACTTACGGTACGATCTCGACATTTTTAGCAAGGGTAGATTATACGCTTTAAACCGGTATATTTACGTGTTTGCCTACCAATCGATATACTCATCAGACTTCATTACAAGGAAGTACGCATGGCACTAAAAAGCTAAAAACCGATTGCGATTCCATCAAAGTGTTTATAAAAAGTAGATTGCCTCGAGATCTTGCATTGCGTCATCTTTCATGCAGCCTGAGCTCAAACGACCTTTGCCAAAACTGTAAGAGCTTAAAATATATAAATACGCAAATGGTACATTTCTCATATCTCTCTCTGAATATATAAACTTACGCTGTACCGTTAGTTTTTATTATGTTAATGCTAGAAAGCTAATGAACTTCTTTGAAGTGGATCATTTTGACTAAAATTAAAATTCACAAAACAAAACTGATGTGTTTCAATAGTTCTTTGCAAAGCTAATTCATATTTGGAAAAATGGTGAAACTGAAACATTTTGTTTCCGACGATGTACATCCTTCCATATTTTTTGCAAACAAATTTCAAATCTGAATACTTTTTTACTGAAGTTTCTCATTTCGATTGATTGAATTCGAGATAAAGCTCTTATTTCAAGTTCAGGCTCCAAAAATAAGCTCTTCAGTCTCTATAGATCATTAGGTTCCCGGTAGCTGCATGTCATACTATCATGTCTCGTTACTATGGAAACATTGGTTCCACGAAACAATCGTTCATGTGTGCATTCTAAAAAGTTTGAAGAGTTTACTTTTCTACAAAGCACTTGAGAGGGAAGAATCGCTACAATATACGGAGGAATCTCGACAAATGACAAGGCTTGTCGTTTTTGCCCATATTAACGGGGTTCACAATAACCATACATACATGACTGTAATCTTGTCTTTACCCCTTTAAATTGAGCGTCGGGCCGCTGTTTACTTTTTTTTTATTTTATTGTTTTATCTGTTTAGTTCTACGCGTGCTGGAACAAGCTTCTTGAGACCGACGAACTCCTGGTAAGAGAGCTACAGAACATAATATTTTTTACGCTTTTTTTATATATTTAAGACCTTTCAAGTGAAGTATCTCGTCTCATTATTGAACAAAACTGTGTGGTGGCAAGCAGTATAGTCGGCCAAGTTGATTCTCAACAAATTACAAAAGGCTAAACGTGTCCACTTAAAAAAATACCGACACAAAAATGCCAAGCTACTAAATTCTGTCCAGTGATATCGGGGTCATGTTTCTAATCTGCAATATCACTTATGGCCGTTGATAAGAGGGTATATTTCTAATCAGGCATGACCGCAACCGTAAACTCAGATTGTTGTCTCGGTGTAAATCCAAGTCGCAGCAATTATTTCACAGTAGGCCTCGTTGAATTTACAAATGGCCAGCCGTTTTTTGACAATGCATTTATCTAAGCTGAGAGAAAAAAAAAGGCTGAAACATCTGTCAGGTCGTTTCAAATTCCAAAATATTTTATTTGTCTATATTGAAGGATAAAGCGTTTTGTATTTTTGATCAAACTCCATCAAAGATTGAGTCGCTAGCTTAACACCCATCCTTTTCCCGAACGTAACAGACAAAGGTTGGATTCAGCGGAGAGGACCTCGAGAAGTTCAAAGGAGCCATCGTAAGTAACAGTTATTTATTATTAATATTTATTTTTTTGTTACTTATTTATTTATCTATTTTTGCAACACTGGTTCTTTTTTTGAAGACAGCTGTAATGGTTACGGAAATAAATACACATATAAAAGAAGGGGGTGTCCTTTGTTCTCTCTGCCAGTTTAAAAGCTTGATTGGTTGCACGTGCTCGTTTTTTTTTTGTTTGTTTTTCTTTTTAAGTACATTTGTAGATAATTGGTATTCCTAATTTGCCTAAAGATTCGAAGCGTGCAGAGCTTCTGCGCCTGGTGGCTTTGTCAGCCTGCGGCAGCGACAACATTAAGATGACAGACATTCTTTCCAGAAATAGGACTAAAGGGGGCACAAAAGTGGATTTTAGGATGTTTGAGGTGGGAAAAGGGGGGGGGGGGCAGAATTATGAGTAAACTTTTTTTTTTTTGTTTATCATTGAACACGACCAAACGTTGTGACACACTTCCTTTATTTACTGTGGTATATCAGAAGAAAACGGCGTGTCGGAATGTTCGGTCCAGCTGTTAAGAAATGCATGATCGCTACTTTCGGATTTTAAGGTTACTTGGGACAAAAACCATGTTACAATTTTCGGTTCCGTTTTAATAACAAACGAGGCCATGCATGATTGTAATTTTTGGTTTTCGATAATACTTAGTTCTTGTGACTGAGTTGCTGACCTAAAACTCCGATCTCGAAATCCACTTCGGTGCCCCATAAGAAGACGGACGTGTTTGAAGCAATATGTATAAGCTCGATATTGTTCGAAATTTTGAAGACTGTATTAGTTTCTTTGAATATTGACTGTGGCTTTTTACGCTTCCAGAAATGTGCCAACGGAGTTCTGCAAAAGACCCTGGAGCCGTCTGAGTAAATGAAGGGGTGTATCACAAGAAAAAAAAAACTTTATGAAACTTACAAAGCTTATTTCACACCCCCCCCCCCTGTCAAGTTAATAAAGTTGTTAAGCATTTTTCTTTAGATTTGTACATATATTGTTAATTTCCTCCTTGTTATATCCGGCAAGCATGAGCAGAGGCCTTGTGTCAAAACAGATATTTATTGGTTATTTTACAGAATCAAACTGTAGGCACACTTAAACGTTACGCGCAAGGTAGTGTCCATTTACTAAAAAAAAAACGAGCCCGAAACCAATGACCTATTTTTAGAGTGCAGCATATCCTTGGTTTGTTTGTACCGAATCCTTCCGAGCAATTCCAGCCGAATTACGTTAACCTTCTATTCGCTTTTAAAAAAAATGAGACTCCAAAGAGTTACTCTTTTTGCGACGATTTCCAAACCAACACCGACCCTTATAACAGCTGGGTCTCTTCACTGCTGTCGAACACGCCTCCCTCGTCCGTACACAGAGGAATAAAAGTTCGAGGAGCCGGCGTGTCCACATCCCGGGAAACACGAGACGGCACTACGTCACTTCCGTTTCTCTCCGAAATGTCGCCAACCGGCACCACCAAGCTCCCGACAGACGTTATTTGAATCGCTCCTTCACATAGCACCCAGCAAGCGCATCGTGCCTGGAACTCCTTTACCTCTGGTGTGCTTACCACGTCCTCAAAAGTAGTCCCTCGGTGTCCGCTTGACGACGTCTTAAAAGAGCCACGCTAGCGCCTGTCGCGATCCTGGCGGTGTCACCGCAACGGAAGTGGCTGCGACAGACACCTCTTCCGCTGCGGGTCGCTCTCCAGCTTTGACAGCTCACGGACGCTCCCGCAGCCATGAGCTGGGAACGCCGCGACGACAGCGCCACTCGGGTTCCGTCGTACTCGTTACCCGAGACTTCTACCAACCGCCAGGATCGCGACATCCGAGAGCATGACACGTCGACTCCCCGTGACGTCACTCGTTCCCGCTTCTGAACTATTTTTGGTGCATAGGCAGTACAGGACGCTAAATTCACCAGTGGAAGACGGAATCCAGGCACCGTAGCTAGCCTAAAGGGTGTCCGCGATACTGGAGTTGTGTTGCCTTCGGGCGCTTCCGCCACAACTTCTGTCACGTGACAACATCTCCGTTTTCCTTTTTGCCTTCTTGTCAGAAAACGTTTATCCAGTAACACCGAGTAGTGCCGGTCGAATAGCAGAGGTCTCGGTGGTTTCCCCAGCGAAGAGCTTGAAGATGAGTCTCGTTCTGGTCAGCGTTTTCGCTTTGTTTTACGTCACTGCAGCATTGGACCTCTGTCCACACCAAAGTAAGTACACTTCTGCAGGGAGCCTTCCTTTGAAATATTATTTTAATTGAAAGCTAGAAACCCCAGTTGCCTGCTAACGGCCGTCTTATGCCTAGTATTTCTACCAAAACCACCCTTCTCATAATGAAAAGAAAATCGAGCATGACATTTTATATTTCGCGTACAAACAACTATACTTTTAGACTAGTTATAGTTTATTTTTCTTTTGCGCATAACGACATGTAGGAAGCGCACGGTGTTTTTTTTTTTTTCACAATAAACCGTCTTTTCTTATCGTTTCTTGTGCTCTCGTTGAAAGGAAGGATGCCAATTTACTTTCATCCTACTCAAGCATTACTAAAGATTTTCTCACAAACTATCTTATGGTCCAGTCCGTTTGTATCATACCTAATAAACTAGCGAAAAGTAAATTACAACGAAAGTCAGTTTAAGAATTAGGACATCATTTTCTTTGACATCTCCTGCGTTCATTTCCCCAATGAAATATTTATTTCCGCAGAACAAAATGACAGCACCCTCTAACGCAGGTGTGTGCAAATGCTTATTAATATAATACGTCGAGCGTGTCGTTCTCATCACGCTAAACTTTGAGGGCGAGAATACTACACCACCAGAGTAATTTAGTTTACCATAAGTTTCAAGTGAAATTTAACTGCGGTCGTTTATTCAGGAGATTTCTGGCTAAAGCCTAAATTTTAAATAGTGGCCTGCGTTACAATGGCTACATTATGAAATTTCAATTGCTCGCTACAGGATCAAGTATTATAACGAATTGAATTACACATAAATAATGCCATCAAAGGCGTATATTACATAAACTCTTAAAAACATTTTTTTTTTTCAAAATAAGGGTTTAATGATAACGCCTGGAAATATATGGCAAAAGGTATAATTACCGAATTTCCGACCGTTTCTGTACCTATTACTTCAAAACCAATAAAAATGGTCTCAAAGTAAATAATATGCCTTTTAATACTTCCAAACAAGACTCATTTGCACAACAGAAATGTTCGAAGCAGCAGTTTGTAATCTGATCTCATTCCAGTGAAAAGGTTATGCGTGTACAATTGCAACCTGTTTTTTTTTTATTTTAAGGAGGAGATTATCTAATCCAAGTGTCACAGATCCATGCACAGCATTGCTTTAGGTTGCTGTTCCCAATGCTCGTACCCCTCCAACTTCGCCCTTATAAGCTAGCGTTTATCATGCATTATCTTTTACATCGAGTTTCCTAAATTACGTAGATGTGTGCTTTGGTCATTACGAAAAACATACAGCACTAGATATCACTGCCATAAAACTTAAGGTTAGCTCACACATTCGCGTTCAAGTGTGATTCACTGTGTTGCCACAGCCTGCAAAAGCACTAGCGTCATCTATCGGTAGCCTTGAAACACTTTCAACCTGCTTTTTTATATGTGCATTTTTTCGGCTTTATAGTTAGTATGATGTTATAGACGATAATTTCTTATTAATAGCGCGTAGATTTGATATCGTAAATACTGCAAAACATTTAATGTAGTTATACCAGCATTGGAAGTGTTCCAGAGCCACGCGATAGATGGCACCAGTGCGTTCTTTCGTGTTAAGCGGCTACAAGCGGTAAGAGAGTAGTCAATCACACTCAAACGTAAATGTGCGAACCAACCTTTATTCACGACTCAATAGAATCCAAGTAGATCATGTTTAAGGGCGAGTTGCGAGAATGTACAATTTATCCCATGTGATGAAGATACATAGAAATGGGGGACAAACAACAATAACTTCCTCTTTCTCATGTTTAATTACTGTTACCTACACGCTCGTTTTGTACTTAATTACCTCATGTGTTCCTAATTTTTACCGCCAGAGCATCTCGAAGGGGTGATAGACAAGTGCCACGGAAAACTTTCCAAACTTGGAGAAATATCAAAACAAGTAAGGCATTTTTCTCACATTTTTACGTCAATAGTATACATGATTAGGACGTCTATCTTTTACGAAATATGTACACTGCGCGACACTCATAGCGCGAACAAGCATCAGCATGTTTTCGCAGTTTATATAAAAAAAATTTTGGTTGGCATGCAATGTTACCGCTTTGGTTAGCGTCGAAAATGAGCACTTTCTCCCACACTCTGTTAGTTTTGATGACATCTTTTCGATATTAAAGGAACCGTGAAAATATTTTTCAACTTCTCCCTCCTTAGCTTTCCTCCCCAACTCAAAGGCGAAATGAGAAATCACGTGGTCGTGACGTGCTTGGGCACCAGATGCCGTAACTCCAAGCTTCTATCCTGTTTCTAAAGTACATCATGGAACTTGTCATTCGCAAATAATAATAGGCGCCGCCATGGCACTCATTGGCCAACGAACACGAATCAAACTATTCGTCGACGGATCGATTGTTGAAAAGCGCATACGTCAGAATAACGCACTTTTTCCTTCTGTTCTCCTTGACGTCGAAGCGATGAGCTATTCGCCTTATAGTTTCGCACCTCTAACTCGTCACGTGACTTCCGTTCACTTTGACACGAATCTTCGCTAGCGCACGTTGCCTGGAACGCGTCTCCGACTCACGTGCTTGCGTGTCTTTATTTAGTTTCCATGATTATCTGCTAACGGCGTCAGAACTGGTAAATTCCGCCGCTTTCAGCATGGGACAATAAGATGTCTGGGCGTTATACACTCCCTCCCAGAAATCTGAAGCGTTTGGGTCTTTTTTTTTTTTTTTTTTTGCAAAGCATTTGGGTAACTCGGTTGCTGCAGTCTATACGAAGGGATGACAAGGCAGAAAATATCAGAAAAGTATAAGGGTGTGGAGATAGCTGTTTGGATATCAAATATTGCTCCGTCATTTATAGCCTTCACGAGGAAAAGCCACGACAATCGGTCACCGGTCACCTTAACAGTGCTGAATCTATACTTCGTTTCACCTTAATTCCAAACGAAGCTGACGGTTTGCCAACCGATGTGAACAAGTGGAAAACGCCAAAAGCGCACCATCTGGTGTTCTTCATGCTTATATGCGTGTTCTATTATCGCTGAACCATTCATAAACGGAAAGGACCTAGTGACTTGAGCTTTCGACGCTGCTTGATTGGTAACTTTAGCTCGCACCGTCGTCTGCGTAGATGCAGTTGGCTCTCAAAAGTGCTTTGCACGAAAGTAGTCGCACAGGATTTCTTGGGGTGTGCGACAACTTGCCAGTCGCTTCCAACGTCCGTTCAGCCCAACGGCGAATGGAGCAAACGCCATTTCAAATATCATGCTCTTCATGCTGCCATCTTTGGGTACCTGGCTATGAAACGAATCCTGTGCATGCGCACTGCAGCCTGCCCAAGATTCCGGGGAAAGTTAACGTATCGCGCTACGTTTTTTTCCACGGGGGTGCCCCGAGGTGGTAGAAAAGAAGTTTTTGGGTAGAAGCGTCGCATTGAAATTTGTTTGTTGCTCCAGTCATAGATGGCGTGGATAACAGACGAAAACCATAAATGTAAACATTTCGGCGGAACTCCGCCTGGTTAGGTAAGCAATAAGAAAAAGTACAACGTAGACTCTAACCAATTCCTTCAATGTGCCCGACGTTTCGAAGCCAGCTCGGCTCCTTGTTCGCGGGTGACTGTATATGGGCCCAAAGGTAGCAACCTGTCGTCGTTCTCTTCTCTCTTAGCTTTGTTTTCTTCTTCTGTTTCTGTGTGTAGCGCATTTTGGCCCGTGTATATAGCTGCTTGGAAGCGTTCCGGTGGATCGGTTCAGGTTGTTGCTTGTATTTTGTATGTGCCAAGATTCTATTAAGATCCGCTTTCTCCAGTTTCTTCCTGTGTCGAGGATGGAGCTATTGTCAAAGCCAATGGCGTGGCCGGTCTTCTGAACATGTTCCGCCAGCGCGCTGCCTTGGATGTCATTCTTCTTTACGTCATACTTATGTCTACGCAGACTTTCGGGAAAGTTCTTCGTTTCCCCCACATAAGAGGCGTCGCATTCGGCACAAGGAACTTGGTAAATCAGACCTTGAGCTTTTTCTTTTGGTGGACGATCCTTTGGAAAAGGAAGAAAATGGCCCAGAGTTGAGACAGGTTTATGCGTAACTGCAATGCCGTACGGTCTCAAAACGCGGGCTAGGACCTCGCTCGTGCCATGGAGGTACGGGACGCACATGCGGCTGGAGGTGTTTTTGTTCTTGGATGTAGGAGGGTGACGAAGTTGTTTGTATATTTTGTTGACAGATCTCGTGGGGTAGTTGTTTCTCGAAGGTCTCGCTTTATAATATCGACTTCCATCTTAAGTGACTTCTTTGTTGAGCAGACCGTGAGGGCGCGTCGAATGAGCGCCGACACTACAGAGGATTTGTGAGTTGTAGGGTGGTCTGACGAGAAGTTTAGGTAGCGACCGGTGTGCGTTGCTTTCCTGTATACTTGGAAGGATAAATGGTTCCGTGTTTTTTCCACTGCCACATCCAGAAATGGAAGGCACCCGTTAGACCCGTGTTCAACCGTGAATTGAATATCTGGATGGATGGAATTGAGATGTTTGTGAAGGCGACCGACTTCGCTGGACTTGGCAACACAGAAGCAATCATCCACGTAACGTAGAAACAGAATCGGTGTCGGAGAAAATGTGTTTAAGGCTTTTTGCTCGATGGCTTTCATTGTGAGGTTGGCGACAGTGACGGACACAGCGGCACTCATGGCTGTGCCACTCCTTCTCTTGTAGTAGCGACCAGCGAAAGAGAAGTAGGTATTTGTCAGGCACAGCTCTAGTAGCCGACATATCTCATTCACCGAGAGGTGTGTTCTTTCAGGTAGAGTCGTGTCGGCCTTGAGTGCCGTTCTGACAACAGACACCGCGAGTCGAATGGGAATACTCGTGAAGAGAGATACCACATCAAATGAAACAAGGCACTCGTCTTCGTTCAATTGCAGGTCCGAAACGAGTTCGATGAAGTGGGCAGTGTTCTCAACATTTGTGTTGGTCTTCCCCATGAGTGGAAGAAACAGACGATGGAGATCGTTTGACAACGCTCGTAATGGCGACGTTGTCAAGTCAACTATGGTACGAAGCGGAATGCCACACTAGTGTATTTTTGGTAAGCCGCAGAACGCAGGAGTGTATTCGTTTCGGCAGATAAGACTAAGGTAGAGAGCCCGAAACTCCGGATATTTGTTGAAGACGGCGTAAAGCGCTTTGTTTAAGATTCCTTGAATTTTTGATGTCGGGTCTTTCGGTAGCATCATGTACGCTTTGGCGTTCAGAAGTGCGTGCACCTTCTCCTCATAGTCTGTGCGGTTCATCACCACTGTCACATTCCCTTTGTCAGCAGGACACTTAAGATGGAAGTCGATATTACAAAGCGAGACCTTCGGAAAAACAACTACCCCACGAGAGTTGTCAACAAAATATACAAACAACTTCGTCACCCTCCTACATCCAAGAACAAAAACACCTCCAGCCGCATGTGCGTCTCGTACCTCCATGGCACGAGCGAGGTCCTAGCCCGCGTTTTGAGACCGTACGGCATTGCAGCTACGCATAAACCTGTCTCAACTCTGGGCCATTTTCTTCCTTTTCCAAAAAATCGTCCACCAAAAGAAAAAGCTCAAGGCCTGATTTACCAAATTCCTTGTGCCGAATGCGACGCCTCTTATGTGGGGGAAACGAAGAACTTTCCCGAACGTCTGCGTAGACATAAGTATGACGTAAAGAAGAATGACATCCGAGGCAGCGCGCTGGCGGAACATGCTCAGAAGACCGGCCACGCCATTGGCTTTGACAGCAGCTCCATCCTCGACACAGAAAGAAACTGGAGAAAGCGGATCTTAATAGAATCTTGGCACATACAAAATACAAGCAACAACCTGAACCGATCCACCGGAACGCTTCCAAGCAGCTATATACAGGGACTAAAATGCGCCACACACTGAAACAGAAGAAGAAAACAAAGCTAAGAGAGAAGAGAAGAAAACGACAACAGGTTGCTACCTTTGGGCCCATATGCAGTCACCCGTGAACAAGGAGCCGAGCTGGCTTCGAAACGTCAGGCACATTGAAGAAATTGGTTAGAGTCTACGTTGTACTTTTTCTTACGAAAACCATAAGCAGGATTTTTTTAATGTTTTTTCCGAAAGTTTTTTTTTTTTTTTTTAATTTTGATGTGATGTTTACATTGCCTTCGGGCTCCTTCGCGGTAAATCGGAGCGTGAAACGTTACCGAGCCGCTTTATGCGGTCACTTTAAAAGCTTCCCCTGGATTCGTGAGCATGCTGTAGCTCTTATCTGCAGGGTATAGTTATTAGGCGGCGGTCGCGCATGCGTCTACAGCCCAGTGAACCGGCATTGTTCGTCTGGGAGATAAGCCCCCAAAATGTGTATGGGTGCGAATAAAAACTATCCTTTTGTTCCTCTGTCGCGCGGTTACGCAAATACAGTTGGCTGACATCGCGTCCACGTACGAGAAGCAGTGCGCGGAAGAGCTGGCACCAGGCGCTAGCAGCGCTGAGATCCAAAGGATGCGCTGCGTCGACGAGCACTTCGAAAAACAGGTGATCACGACTTTGCGTACTCGCTTCGATCAACCCACGTTTTCCGGCTCCTTCGAAGAGTCGGAAACAGAGCGTTCAAAAGAATTTATTATTCTATTATAGTCACTGATAAGCTAAGAAACGCCGGGCGTGTCGAGTCTCGAGGATAACATTATGTCAACGAGATTGCGGCATTAGGCTCTAAGAACGACAGAGAACGAACCAGGAAGCTTGAATGCAATAGGCCACGCCTCCTCGCGTTTTTTAGCGTTTCTTAAGAACTGGAACGTGCGGCGACCGAGCCGGAATTCTTACGGCAAATTGTGAAACTGCTAGCGTCGAAAAAGCTTGCGGCGTTTGTGGTCGATTGTTGAGCAAGTTTCATTACGCCATTGCGCCGAATAACCGGCATCCAGAGCACTGCCCCCGCGATATAATCTGGAGCGCGTCTCATTGAGCGATTCCAAATAGATGATCAAAACAACAAAGGCGAAAGTCGAGTTGTACGACGCCAGAGGGCTGACTTCCGCAATGGCAGCCGGCAAAACACTACTCGCCTGCCAGGAGACACAGCGTAAGGAAACGTAGCGCCCGCGCTGTGTCGTAGGTTGGCGCATTTGTACAGGGTGTCACAAAACAAAATTGACGCGGTCTTTTGTACCGCAAAACTAAATTAGGCATCCCGAACGCTCATTCTCAGCCCAAAGGTAGCGCTAGAGGTCACAACCAGATGCCAAAGTTTCAGCCCGATCCGATAACTTAATCAAAAGTTATAGGTGATTTTCTCAAAATTTCAATGGGAAAATGGCGGCCGACGGAGTTTTCGAATACATGGGGCTTTATGGGCACCAGAAACCGAAAACGGGCCAAAATGGGCTCCATTTTTTCATTGAAATTTTCAGAAAGACACTCATAACTTTTGAATAAGGTATCGGATTGGGCTGAAACTTTGGCGTCTGGTTGTGACCTTGTAGGGTCACAACCAGATCCTTTGGGCGGAGAATGAGCTTTCGGCGATGCCTAGTTTATTTTTGCGGTAAAAAAGACCGTGTAAATTTTCTTTTGTGACACCCTGTATGTCGTGTGCCTCGGCGGACTGTTAGTGATCTTGGGACCTTGATGTTCAAGAGCACTCTGTCCAGTGGCCTCTTAAACGCTAGGTCAATGAAGCATGTGTAAATTTTCGTGCCTTTTAATTGCTCGCTTAAAATCGTTATTTACCTTAGCTCTAAAAACACTTTTGACGAGATAAATAACGGTTCAATTCATCGGAATATTGCGGAAACCAATTGAAACGGCAGTACAACCACTTCTAGAGCAAAAGCTCTACTCGCGCGTACGGTAAAATTAGTGCTCCTCTTAAAACAATACTAATAAGGGCTGAATATTATTCTGACGTCACTAACAAAGAGAAATGTGAAGAGGGTGCACTCTGTTTCGACTTGACTCGGCAGGCGACAGAAGTTACGACGCGCGTGAATCAATAGAAGTGTCAGAGTTACACACGTAAGTGTAGCGTAGCGATGCGTCATGACATTTATCACTCAGACTACTCATTCGTTTACCTAATCGGGACTTCCAACTTTTGCCGAGTTATACTGAAACTGATATAAAAACGCAGAGATGTTTTTTTTTTTCGCCTAAGTACAGCATGAGAGTTTATGTCATAGATCCAATCCCAGATGCTCATGTTACTTCCCGGGTTACGCGGCAAGATGGTGCCCTGCTAGGGGCTTCTATTTCCGCAAGGACTGGCCATAGTCGCTTAAATTATGCCTTGTCTACTTGGAATAACTTTTTCAGACTCTTCTTAAACCTTCCTTCATTCTGCGCCTCAGCTTAAATCAAATAAAATTGTTTATTTATTAAGAATCGTGCATCCACGCTTATTTTTAGTTTTCTTTTTTAACACCATCAGCCAATTGCTTTAGTTTACATTAAGGACAAGTTATGAGGCTCCATACTATTGTATTGAAAATAAAACGTATTCCAAACGATCATGCTATTTTTTTTTAAGTCAATAGTTTTGTTGGTTTTTCCTTTGAGTCGTTGGGTGTAGGAATTATATTTGATGTCTGAGTCAAAACCATATTCTAATCAAAAAACAATTTTCGCTACGATTTTGAATTACTAAAAACCATGTTTCATATACTTTCAGTTTTACCGCTGCTGGGCTGGCGTGTTGGACGATGACCGTCTATTGGTAAGAAGTCCTAAAGCACTTACCTGTTTATTGCGAGAGAAATTCACTCATGAGGCGAATATAACTCAACTGTCTGGAATGCATACAATTAGTCTTGCGAGTCAAAATGCGAAATTCGGTTTACTTCATCAAAGCAGCGTTCACTGGATCACTGAGCATAGCGACTCCTATTCCAATCTTCCAAATATCAAACTTATATCATAAATATTATGTCCGTTGCCAGAGGGTGGTTTTAAACGTGAAAAGTTTTAATGTTTTAACGTCAGTTAAGACCAAGGAAGGGACGACTACATCTAAGATTTGGTGACTGGAAAGAAGAACTGCAACCATTAAGAGGCATCAAGCGGCCTGATAGAACAAACGACAGCGCTTGGTGTGTCCGTTTGCTCAAGTGACCTGGCGTCTCTTGGAGATTTTTTTTTCTCTTATATTACATCACTTGCCCTAGTGCCTTCTCCTTTAAAAATGCAGCAACTTTAAACAAAGTAATCATAGTTTATATTGAGCCTAAGCACTGATTCCTTCCTGGGACATTTCTAGTTATTTCATTATCAGAATATAATGAGTGAGAGACGATGGGAAACATAGACCTGATGGGTTTTGGTCTGCTTGTGTCCAAATTTATATCATAGTAAATTCGAAACCCTATATCACTTTGACCAACGCGGCGACTGCTAGGTGTACGTTGATCTCATTTGAAGGCTAAAAGCACCGAGGGTGAAAGTTAGCGATTGTTTGCTTTCTGAGAATTTTGCGGTTTACCCCAAAATGACCTATATAGAATATATTGTAGCACTCAAGCTTTCGTTATTTCTACTTTCAGAGCGACGCCGGTTTTACAAATGAAGACGTACATATTTTTAAAGAATCCATCGTAAGTAAACATTTGTAGAAGCACATTCACTTCGTGGCTATGTAAAATTTAGCTTGATTGACAAATGTCACCAAGAAAAATGCCTGTTTAATCTCACCCTGGCTTTTATTCTTCCTAAGTAATTTCGCATGGTTCCATAAAAAAAAATAAGTACACGAGCTGGTTTTATTTGAAAGGGGCATATAGATTTATATAAACTTCTCAAAGCAAGCGTGGGTAGCATTACCGGTTTCGGCAATCTAAAGGCACACAAAGAAAGAGATGTCTGTTAAACCGTACATTCAGTAAATATTAATCTGATGGCTCACTGCAGCTAAGATTTGTTAGCGCAAACATTACATGGTACGAACAGGACACCTTCATGTCGCTACTTTGTCTATTTCTTTTCAGAAATGCAAATTTGGAGTGCTTGGAATTGAGGTTTGAAAGGAAACACTCCACCTAAGAAAGACAACGACAGCCTTCCGCTTGGATTTTCATGTTTCTGATCCACTTTGTAGGCTACGCGAACCAATATAGCTTAATTATTAATATACATTCTGCGTAAGTCTGAATGTATGCTCTATATTTGGTCGCATGTGGTAATGCAATAAAAAAACATGCAAGAACAAACATTTACCCCTTCTTAATGTGCATGAGTGTTTCCTGATGCAATGCGAAACGGTTTCAAAAATCATCTAGGTTAGCTGTTCGTGGAAACTTACGGCATTCACTTCCGCCTTTAGCAAACTTATATTAGCGAAGATATTTTAATTCGTACTTTCTTATTAACTCGGCACTGAGGAGTGTTTTCCAATTGTGAAAAGCAATAATTATTGTATAATGTATTTACGTGTGTATAGTAGAACAAGCTTTTCTATAGTCACGTCACAGTACCATTTAAGTAAGAGTACCATTTTTTACTTACTAGTGTGGATTTATTACAGGAAACTTTGGATATAGAAATACATTGTTGTAATATCAAATTTTACCCCAGAAACTCACAAAGTTTGTAAATTCGTTTCACTGTATATACCAACTAACCAACGCAGATAAAAGCGTTACCATAAACACCGCGTTCTTCAGCAGTTTATATAAGTATATCAGTTTGTGTCTCGCATCGCTTAATTTGTCACTCAATTTAAGAAAGGTTCCAGTCACACACACGTGAGGAGGTTCAGAATCCAACCTACGTACACACAACAGCAGACTCCCCATAGTTCGCAACTAACTTTCAATTCCTAATACAATACTTCAAGAACACTGACTGAACGATAAATAAATGCCCTATGCTCGGGGCTTGTGAACAAGAATTTCGAAGTTGCTTTCCTCAAGCAAGAAAAGCAAAAAAGCTCCAAAACGCAAAAAAAAAAAAAAAAAATTTGTTCTAATAACCTTGATGTTTCGAGGAGCCCTCAAGTATCCAAGACTCTAAAAGTCAATTGTTAAGCCGCGTTTTTTTTTTTTTTAGACATTTTTTTAGCCTATTGTTTAGCCTCCGACAAACCCTTGTCTTGCTTAAATGTAAAATACAATATCCAAGATATGAGCAGGGTCACGCCAGATAACAAGGTATATATATTTATATAGTCAGCTTACCACTGCCTTCGTATATGTACCATATCTAAAAGCTCTGCTTCGACTGCGCAGTCTTAGGAAACCGTTTCGAGAATTCCGTAACAGACACATGGAGGTCTCCGAACTTCATGTACGAACAATGGGATAGTGGCACGCCAATATGTCTTCGCAACTGAAGTGCTTAAATGTGAGCATGACTATAACTTTCTATGTTGGATTCTATTCTATTTAACAGTCAAAGTGTGCTTCGATTTTTGTTGTGGTTCTTGTTTTTAATCTATGGCGTCGTCAAACGATTCCCTATGCTTGAAACCATTCTTCCTTCCGTCTGCACACTTTATGAATTACACGCACTGTACGGCGTAAACAAGAAGCCGGTGACGCCATTACCGTCTCGACCTTGAACGTGTAAGAAGCACTAAACAGACGACGTGATCTCGCAAAACATATTCAAGGCATATTTCTTCAAGAAACTATATGTCAAAATTTCGCTAACAACATTATTTGAATAATTATATGACTTAAACTATGAGTAGTAATGTGCACTTAATGTTAAGATGATCATTACAGTACATTCGACTTCCCTTGACTTTAAAACCAACGTAGCATGTCATCAATTTATGAGTACACTGACACTCTCTACGTGGGACACTATATTCATTGCATAATTGTACTAAAAGAGGCTTCAAATAAGAGTGAAAGTTAGCAGACCAGGGCTTTCAGAGAGTGTACGAACTGTAGAATAGGTCAACCATTTCGACTCTTTTCTTGTAGAATAGGTGTCGGCGTTTTTGTGACGTAATTAATCGCACTTTGTTTAAACATTGGTATTTAGTAAATAAAAAACGGTTTACCAGATATATCTCGCTACACTTTAGTTGACACCGAAAAGCAGGTGTTACTCGCTCTGAGAGCTGGCACTAATAAAATGATCCCTTCGTTCTCAACTTCAGATTCTCTGCCTATCACATGCAACTGACTCGAAGCGCACAAACAGAACCCTGTGAATATTCGTCTCGCATACTTCAAACCGCGAAAAGTAAAAATGTAAAAAGCTCCCAAAGACAATTAGGAGGTTGAACAAGTGAGTCCTGTAGTCGCGGTATCCTTCTGTTTAGCTAGAAGGGTACATTCCGTCGGTGCTTCTTGAAGTCTGAAAAAAATAAAAAAGGAATACAAAAGTTAATCAACAGGCGCTAGTTCTATTACTGGTGTTTCACATATCCCTTCAAATTATTTATCATGCCTTGCTTTCAAAACACACCAGTCTACACAGTCAGACTTAACGATTCCATCCATGGGCGTACCAACCGGGAGGGCAAGGGGGCGCTTGCCCCCCCCCCTTCCCCAGTTCTCAGAGTATGTGTAGGGGGAGGGGGGGGGCAAGGTATGGGTTCCCCCCCCCCTGAAACAGCCGCCACTCGGCAGGGCAAACACTGGCCGGCGGTGTCCGAGGGATACCGAGTGCACCGCCCCCCGGATCTGAGGGGGGGGGGGGGACGGTTTGCCCCCCCACTCAAAAACAAGTTGGTACGCCACTGATTCCATCGTACACTGGCAAACATGGCATGATCACAAAATACTCCGCCTTAGAAACTCCATTCCGCAAACTCTCCATCGAAAGAATTTCAAAGGTCACATTTCCAGAAGACAAAACTACCCCAGTAAGGTCACTTGAGGAGATTCCCAGTGTACTGCATTTAAATAATTCTCGCTGCTAGCCGTCCAGTTATACCCTCTCAAAGAGACACTGCAATTAAAAACTTTTTTTTTCTAAAGGAACACGTATAATAAATATATATACAGGGTGTTTCAGAGAACGCAGGCCAAATCTGAAGCTTGTCCGGGAGTCTAGATGTTACATATCTGCTCCGTCAATACATAGGGCGAAGCTCACACAGCTTCCAAATCATGCCAGTGCGAAGTAAATAAATATTGTTTCTTCGCTGGCTTTTACGCTCAGATATTGAGGTAAGTACTAACATTAAATAAACAACCTTACATAGGTCAAAATTCTGCTCAGCTGAGCGTCCATGCGAAGTTCCGTTCAAAACTATCACAGCATGAGATTCGAGTCCTTATAGCGGCCATACAAACAATATATTACAATTTCTGTTGGTAGGTCCTGACAGATTACTATATTTCTTAACTGTAAATAAAAAATGAAAAAAATAAAAGGTGTTTTTTTTTAGAAATTCGACTTCAAACTTGCAAGTCTTTCTTTAGAAAAACTTGCAAGTTTGACTAACTGTGAATAAAAAATCAAAAAAAAAATTAAAAGTGTTTTTTTTTTTAGAAAATCGATTTTATCTTGCCAGTTTTTCGAAATTTCTGTTTATCAGGCACATGTAGCGCATCATATACTTATCGCAAAATATAGACATTATACTCAAAAGAAAGAGCTTAATTGGAGCTATACGTTGATATAAAGATCATAAAAATATCTTGATTAGGTCACACAACACAGCTTGCCGAACTTCGTCAAACATCGTCGCATAGAGGCGGTTTGACAAACAAAACAAAATCATTAAGAATGTTATGACCTATACGCTTAATTAGCATAAACAAGCCTATGTCTAGAATGTTCCCAAAAAGTTATATTGATGTCGCGTAAAAAGTAGGGAAAAGGGGTGGGGTGAAATTTGGCACCTCCGATAAGCTGGACAAACGTCAGTTTCCACCTTGGCCGCTTCAACGGTCCATAACTTGAGAACGAAAAGTCCGACGAAATTGCCGTTTGCGTCTTCCGTTATTATAGGAATTGCCCCAAAGCATATATTTTTTTCATCAAAATTAAGAATTCGACCTTAAATTCGTGCCTTAGTTGAGATGAAATCACCCATATATATATATATATATATATATATATATATATATTAACACGAAAAATAAATTTTTACCGTGCAACATTTACGCCGTTCGAAGCAATTTTGGGTGCAGAAGGTGGAGGTAGCAACCCGCTGATCCCCACCCCGTGCTTTCAAGGTGCTCACATCTCTGTTTGTTAGCTTTTGAGATAGGATTTTAGAAACGTACCGTCTAAACCAAAGGTACCACTGTGCGCGTGTCGCGGATCTAGAGCATTTATATTTTTGTGACCATAAAAACTCTAGAAGGTTTTGTTGTTTGTCTAAACCAAGAAGTGATTGTACCTTTTAGGCCGTTTTACTTATTAGGATGGCAATTCGGGCCAGTTGGTTCATGATCGAAGATAGGCACCGAAAAAACAAGGACAAGAAGAGACGCAAACACTGGCGCTTTAAGTTTTATTTAGTCACAGTACAAACTTAGTTTTACTTAGTTTGTTTCGTGATATAGGGGAGGGTTATGCACGCGACCTTGAAGAACAGGATTTTTGGTAGTTATGTGGAGGTTGAGGTTCTATATATAAGCAGGGTGGTTGAATAAAATTATTAGCTGAGTTAGAGACGTTGTCTTTCCCTGTTACTTTGTTTCCACTCCAAAAAAAGTCATCCGCCTTCTGCCCCAGTTTTGGGTTAAAATCATCATGGTACACTCTTTTATTCTCGGGTTTCAGCGTAATGATCGAAACGAATTCAAATGTTTTTTTGTTTTTTTTTGTTACGAGTGGGGCGTGACACAAGCATACTTGAATAAGAAAATTTCAGGGTGTTCTAATTTTGTTTGTTGTTGTTAGTACGTTAGGCCTTGAATGTTAGTGTCTTTGGATCTCCAGAAACTCCTGGTAAGTGAAGTAATCGCGAGAAGAGGAAGATTATCGCGCCCTTTACGCTGTCTATTACCCCGTAATTTTGTGAGTCCACGCGTGGGGAGCTAGACTTCGTCATTCGGGGACCAGCTGTGCGCGCTGACGGTTGCCTCCGGGCTCATTATGTTTGACTATGTCTCGCCGCCAACGATTGC